CTGTCTCCATCAACCCGAGAGGTTCCCATCCTGAACCCCTTAGGACAGGAAGTGAGGACAGTTTCCAATTCAGAGGATCAAAAAGAGTGACAAAGAGAAGACTCAGGGTGACTTAGGTGGAGGGAGAACATACAGGAGTGCAGAGAAGTGGCAAAGATGCAGGGGGAGGGAGAGCTGGGGAGACAGATGGGGGTGGTGGGGAGATCAAGAACACACTATAGTCACAGAGGGAGAATGCCTCCCAGGCTGACAAGTGGTGGGAGGCAGCGTCCAGCCCATCTCTTTGGTGTCTGTTTTGAGGGTGGGTGGTGGTGGGAAGACAGAGTGGAGGAGGCGGAGCAGGAGGGAGGGGGAGCAATTTTCCTAGAGAGCTCCTTGTGTATGTGGGTGTTCCTACCCGTGCTGTGTGTGTGTGTGTGTGTAGCATGCACTTGCAGATCTGGAAGTACAGGCTGAGGTGTGTAGGCACGTGTTTGTGCTTGTGTGTGTGGCATGTGTGTGCCTGTGCCACTGTGTCTCCAGGGTGATAAATACAGCAGTAGGAGCTGTAACCAGGCCAGAGAAAGTGCGGAAATTTCCACGGGCTGGAAGTGGAAGCTGCGTGGGAGAAAGGGCGTGCTAGGGCTTGGCCAGTTCACACTGACCAAGGACTTTGTCCCTGCCCACTCTTCCCTGGGCCAGTCCTGAGCTGAGTCCAGGTGACCTGGGCACAAATACACATACCCCACGAGTACACATAACAGTAGGAGAGAGGAGCCATCCAGAAGCAGCAGCTTTCTGAAGGAGGAAGGACACGGTGTCACTGGAGGAGAGGCTGGGGTGGGCCAGGCCAGCTGTTATGCATGTATGTGTATACAGACAGATACTCCCCAGAGCAGGGTCTGGACCACTTAAGTGACAGAGCTGCCTAAAAGATGGACTCCTTTTTCTGGTAGGGGTTAGTCCTGAGGAGCCCATGTGACTGGGATGTGGTCCCATCTCAGAGGCTGGGAGTGGAAGCAAAAACATCATCTGAGGCATGGGGAATAGGTCCCGAGTGCCCATGGGCACCAAGGACCAACCACGACAGGCTGTTCACTGCATGATCACATACATCTTCTTCCCTCTGTTCATGCCATCCCCTTTCTCCGAGATCATTCCCTCTCAGTTCCAACCACAGAAATATTGCCTGTTCCAGCCTCCCTTGCTCCATAGAGTCCATCCTGATCAATATCTTCCACCAGGAGGACTCTGTCCATCCTCAGGATCACTTAGCCATCTGTTCCCCCTCAATGTTCAGGAAAGCTCTGTACACAGTAGGTGTTCAGTAAATGCTTGTTAAATGACAATACACTGGGCCAGGAAAGGGCTCTGGATGCCATGATATCTCCTCAGACTTATTTGGAAAGGGGGTTAATGGGGCATAGTTAGGGACTTCACACTTGTTAGCTCACTTAAGCCTTGCAAATCACCAGGAGGGAGGCAGTATTAATACCTCCAAAGTACAAATGAGAACATGGAGTCCTGGGGTTGTTCAAACAGTTAAGCACTTGACTACTTCCTGGAAAGTTAGCAGTTCAAATACACCTAGTGGCCTGGTGACCTGCTTCTGAAAGGTCACAGCCCTGAAAACCCTATGGAGCAGTTCTACTCTGCACACATGGGGTCACCACGAGTCAGAATTAACTCCTCCTGATAATAGCAGATGAAAACCAGAGACCTAATTCACCCCAAGTTTGCATATGGGACAGTTGTCACTTGCCCAGGATTCCACACTCATGTTTTTCTGAGACAGCAAGCTGAGGGCTGGGAGGGGACTATGAGGCCACCAAAGCATGGGCCAGGAAGGAAGACCTCAGCTCAAACCACCCACATGCCCATTCTCCAATCCCTAGGCTTAGGGGCAAGGGGAACAGGAGGCAAAACCCAGGTCTTGCCCTCCCCCAACCCACCCTATTGATTTCCTGCAGAGCCCAAGGGTCTCTTGGGACCCCTCAATGGCTACTGATCTCTGCTGATAGCTTTGCAGGGTAAGGCTGAGCAGGAGGGAGAGGGAAAGGAAAGAGACAGAGACATCAGCCCTGCTCCCAACCCTTTCCCCATGTCACCAAGGTCTTGCTCTCTCCTCACCCCCTCCTCTCCCTGATGCTCTTACCACCCAGGTTCTCACCCATCACTGACTTCTCTCCCAGGGCTCCCTGTGACCCTATGGGATGAAGCGTGGATTCAGTTTTGGCCTCGAAGGGTTATCTTCCTCTCCCAACATTCAACCCACCCTCACCCCAAGGTGATACCCCTCCTTACCATGTGCATCTGGTCAGACGAGTCTTCAGAGGTCAGCTCATGGGCACCTCCTCCTCCAGGAAGCCCCTTGCTCCCTAAGAGCTGCTCCCAACCCTCAGAAGATCCAGCTCATCTCCTACCTCATTGTCCCCCACAAGCCAAACCCAAATGATAATGTGAACAAATCATGGGAGGCCCCATTTCTAGAAAATGCCCCTGGCCCTAACCCATCCAAATGTTGTCACTGCTGCAATTCATTAAGGTGGAGGCCCTGAAGGCCCCTGTTGGGATGTGATCCCCTGCCCCAAGAGAGCCATCATTAACACCTGACAACTCAGATCTCTTTCCCCAGGGGACAGATGGGGCCTCTAGTAAGAGAAAGCTCTCTGGGTGTTTATCAGAGTTGGAGTTAGAATGACAGTCTACAAAGAAGATATCCTAAGGTGGGCGGGTGGAAATGACCTCAGCCCTGATTCAGGAGAGCTGTGTGACCTTGGGCAAGTCACTTTCCTTCTCTGAGCCTAACTTTCTTCCTTTACTAAGAGACCAGTTGTGATCAGTTCCCACTCATAGTGACCCTATAGGACAGAACAGAACTATCCCATAGGATTTCCAAAGCTATACATCTTTATAGCAGCAGAGTGCCACATTTTCCTCACACAGAGTGAGTGGCTGGTGGGATTAAACCACCCACCTTTCAGTTGGCAGATGAGCACTTAACTGCTGCACCACCTGGGCTCTTTTACTAAGAGAAGATGGGACATAGGGCACTGATGCTGATGCAAAGTAGGTGCTTAGTAAACAGCTGTTCCCTCTTCTTGGCTACTGGAGCTCCAGAGTTCCAAGGCACATTCCTGAACAGTGCTGTCATCCAAATTATCACCAGATTACAGGCCAAATCAGAGCCAGGGCCCACCCCACCCGTAGCCAAGGCCTGGGCCAGCTTGACCACAACTGGAGCCCTGGAGGGGCCTAAACTGTTCTGGGACTAGAAATGCTGAGCTATGCCTACCCCCTGGTGGCCCAATGCAGTCACTGCAGCTGGTCCCCCAAGCCTGAGCAGTGACACTGGCAGCATGGTGGTGGTGGTGACACCCTGACCTCACTCTCAGAGCGCAGTCCCACCCCACTGTCACCCTGAGCCCCAGGGATGGCCAGTCCAAGGTTTGATCCAAGGAAGAATTCCAGCCCCTAAGCATTTGGACAAGGAGACCCATGAGCCCCGTTTGACTAGAGGTAGAATGGTCAGATCTGTCATTCTAGCCTGGAACTATCCACCCAGGGAAAGACAAAAGGTGGCAGATTCAAGGAGCTTGGCCCCAGCCTATGAAAGTGGCCAGCAAAGCTCAGGCAACTCATTCCAGTCTCTACCGCCCCATTCCCAGAGATAGTAACCTGAAGTCCAGGGTTCCCACTCACACCCAGGCCTCCTAACTAAGCCAGATCACATGAGTCAGAGGTCTTCTGGTCCATCCTCTTCCCCCTTCGTCCAGCCCCACTGCCTGAGGCCAGGGACAAGCGGTCAGCCTGTCTGCTTGCTGGCCTCTGGAGAGAAGCCAGTAATGAGGCTCTAGGCAGAGTCGGGAATGTGGTGTCTGGCATCTGCCCAGGGAGTCCCAAATCCATCTCTGAACAGCTAGTTATTGTCCCTGCTTGCCAGGGCCTTGTCTCCTGGAGATGGCTAGGCAATGCCTACCTAGCAAAGGCAGCTTCCTGGGGCAGACAGCAACCACTCCTGGAGGGGTGCACAGGACACTGGAGGGCCTGGGGGGCCTTCTTCCTAATTTAACTGAATACAGCTCCTGTTATTCCTTGACATCATGTCTCCAGCTGTGGCTGCTGGGGGGGCTGCCTAGGCCACCCACGTGCCACACCAAGGCCTTGGCTCAGACTTAGGCCAAAGCAGGGACTGGGGCTTAGGCCCAGTTGGGGTCTGTCCTGGCCGGAATCAGGAATGGGCTGGGACTAGACTAACATTCCCCACTCTGGCTACAAAGGACAAGGTGATGGCATGGAGCCAGGGACCCACCTGGGGCAGGGAATAATGAACAGCTTAGGCTCAGTGAGAGCACACAGGTCCCCAGGTCTGGAGCACTAGGCCCTCACTCATGGGCCTCCCAACCTCCTGACCCTGCCCACCCCAAGACATCTGATCCCCTCACCCAATCACAAGCCTCTCAGCACCATCGGGTAAAATATACAGATATATTTATATTATCAAAAAGGCCCCAAAGTGGGGAAGGGGCACTGGGCAGACTGGGCCCTCCCAGCCAGCCCAGAAGGAAGTGGGGCTGAAGCTCCCAAAGTCCAGCTCTTGGGCCAAGAGTTCCCTCCCTACCCAGTTGAGTGCTCCTTCAGACCACCCACTGTTTTCTGTCCTAGAGTTCATGGCAGGGGGTGGGCTCCCTTCCAGCGGGGCCCCAGGGCCTCCAGCCTCTGAAAGGATGGTGGTCCTCCAGTTCCTGATTTATACCCATCTCTCCAACCCTACAAACTCAGGGTGGGTGACCTTGGGGGTGGGTAGGTGGACAGAGTAAACCAAGTTCCTCCCCAGGCAGACCCTGTTGCCCCCACAGCCGGGGAACCCCATGCAGCAGGCAGGGCTGGCATGTGGGAATGCAGCTTCCTCGTGTGCCCCCTGCTGGCTCACAAGAGACACACAGGGTATGAGGACTGTCTGGACAGGAAGGCAGGCTTCACAGTGGCAGAGTCCCAGCACCAGGGGTCACCTCCTGTGCTCAGACATTGCGGAGAAGCTGTGGGAAAAGAGAGAACCCAGATGCCATAAGCACTTTGTGAAGGCTCAGGGGCCCGAGGCCCTCTAGAAGCTTCTGCATCCACTCTCCATATCCCACGTGCAAGTGCTCAAGTTAGCTAGGGTACAAAGCGGGTTCCTGTGAACTATGTGAACCAAAGGTGCCTAGGGGATCCCTACTAAGGGCAGAAGGAGGCAGCTGGAGAGCACTCAGAGCAAAAAAGCAGACAGGTGAGTCATGGGGAGCAAAATGAGTGTCCAGGCAGGTCCTACCCCCCTGTCCACAAGGATGGAGAAGCACTCACAGACAGGGGGTCTGCAGCAAAGGCAGCCACACTCCGGCGCATCTCGTTCTCACTGCCACGCAGGGGGATCAGCGACACACTGCCCAGCCGGACCTCAGGCACCACCCGAGACACGCGTGAAGGCTCCGAGGGCCACACCAGGCCATCATGCTGGGGAACAGGGGAGAGGTGGGGGCTGGACCTGGGCTTGCTTCAGCTCACCCAGCCACTTGCACCAGATCAACCCACCCTTCCCAGAAATGCCTTGAACTCTGATCTGAGGTGACTCCCTCAACTTTCATCTCCAACAACATGAGAAGCAGCTGTTAGGAGAACATGACTGTATCCCTGGCAAAACACAGCCCAGTTATGTTACTCAACAACTCCCATTTCAGTATCCACCAAACAAACCCCTCCAAGAATGCAGTACCAAGGAAACACTTCCCCTACAGATGCATGGCTGTGCTTCTGCTTCCTTTTATCAGGACCCCGGAATAAAGAACCCACTCTGTTTCCCTCTAGATCTTCATTACCGAGAAGCTTGGGATGAAAGAATTTAGCTACATCAGCCCAGGGCCTGACACAATTTTCTCTCACCTTTCCCTAAGCAATTCTGGGCTCTCATTTAAAAACCTTTAACTTGTCTGTTTTAAGTCTAACCCAGGCCCTGTGGCTCTGCTCTGGCTTAGAAGTCACCACTACCCTGCTCTTGTCTGGGCCACGCAGCAGCTTCCTCACTGGCCTACTCACCTCCAAGCTCTGCCTTTTAACCCATTCCCCCCTGCATGCCGCATCCAGAATGAGCCCTCTCAGACTCAAACCTACACCCTACTCTCTCTTGCTTAAAACACTCTTGGGGTCCCCTGTGCCTATTGGGTCAAGTTCAGCTTCCCTGGTATGCTCAAGGTATGGGCAAAGCTCTTCAAGATTTTGTTCCTGACTCCCTGCCCTCCTGGCTTTACACTCCCTTGAACCATCTTGTAGTTCTCTTTCGATGTCCATGCCTTTGCTTAAACTGTTCCCTCTGCCTAGAAGCTGTTCCCCAACTCTTTGCTTAATGAAGTCTCCCTCATCCCCCAAAGACTCAGCTCCCTACTCCCATCTACCACTCCACCAGGTCAGGATCCCTGGGCTTCCCAATTACTACAGCAGTGATCACACTGGGCCAGAGTGGGCTACTTCTGGGTCTTTTTTCCTCTTCACACGGGGAGTACCCTGAGAGCAGGGCCCAGGTCTGCAGCCTCCCTGTCCTTTGTATGTCTGGCTCAAGGCTGAACCAGACCAGGTACCAGGCAGGGCTTATTGAATAAATGAATTAAAAGCCAACTCAAAAAATCTCCTTGAGGCAGGTGGGGAGCATGAATAATGAAAAAGCAAACACATCCACTGTCCATAACAGAAGCCTACCCAGGGCCCTACCCCGCATCCTGCACCTGGTACCTGCACAAAGAGGAAGGTGGCAAACCACTCCCGGAGTTCCATCTGTGTGTCACAGCACAGGTACCTGTGGGGTGGGGGATAGGTCTAGATGCTGCCAGGGACCTGATGGAGGGACCCCTGCCCGCTCCCGCAGCCCAAGGTCTCAGGGCAGGCACAGGTCTGGGAAGTTATAGAGGACCCAGCTGAGGGGGAATTGCTACCATCTCTTCTCAGCCCTGGATCTCAGGGTGAGGCCCTCACTCACCACTGCTGTTTCTCGTGCTTCTCCGTCTCATGCACCACAGTGAATCCCCAGCTGCAGAGGATGGGGATAAGCGGTCATTGACAGCTTGCCGAAACCTCAAAGCCCAGGTTCCCCAGGACATAGCCCAGTAGCTAGGTTGGAGCCAGGGGCACAGGGCAGGGCCTTCTAGCCAGCAAGGCACATCCTGACCACTGTCTCTTTCTCTCACAGTGTCCATCAGTCCCCCAGGCCCTTAGCCCCTCAAACTTCCACCCTATCCCTAACCTCACCTCAACCTGAGACCTGCCCTGGCCCCAGAGAGACAACCATGCACAGCCAGTTGATGAAAGGAAAAACATCAGAAAACCAAGTCTGCTGACTGCAACTAACACGCTAACAGTGCCTAGGTACCACTTTTCAACTTTTTAAAACCTATAACCACCCTTTGAAACAGTCATCCCATTATTTTCCCCACTTTACAAATGTGGGAACTGAGACAGAGAAAGGTCCCAGAGCTAGTCAGTGACAGGATTTGAACCCAGGCCAGTGGGTCTCAAACATCAGCAAGCATCCAAGTTATGTGGAGGGCTCGTTAAAATACAAATTGCTGGACTGCATTATCAGTGATAAAAACATTAATCTATGGGTAGATACACAGATAGACAGATTGAATGATCAGGTAAGTCGAGGCAAAAGACAATATATCCATAAACATATATAAGGCTGGCAGACATATTTCTACATACATATTTATATATTCTGTAAGAAATGTCCATATAAATAGAATAGGCTGGCAAAGTTATGGTAACTTTTTAGGCACAGTCAACTACCCTGATGGAGTGAGTTATTGGACCTGTGGACTTGGGACCATGGTTGCGAGGGACATCAAGCTCAACTGGCATAACATACTGTACAAAAACATTGTTCTACATCCTACTTTAGTGAGTAGCAACTAGGTTCTTAAAAGCTTATAAATGGCCATCTAGATGCAACAATTGGTCTCTCCTCATCTGGAACAAAGAAGAGTAAAGAAAACCAAAGACCCATGGAAACAATTAGTCCAATGGACTTGTGGACCATGTGAACCTAAGCCTGTATGACCATGAGACCAGAACTATATGGTGCCTGACTACCACTATCAACCACTCAGAAAGGGATCAGTGCAGGAGACCCTGGATAAAGTGGGAGAACAATGTGGAACAACACTCAAAATCATAAAAAGATGAGGTTTACTGGTCTCATAGAGCCTGGTGACACCCCCAAGACTATGGCCCCTAGTTACCCTTTAGGCCTGGAATTGAACTCACTCCCAGGACTTATAGCCAAACAACAGACAGGTATATAGGGTGAATATTTACTTCAGATAGATACACTCCTTAGAACGATCAATCATGGGAAAACAGAAGGGCGATTATTTGCATAGGGAGATAGCTCAGGGGGCAGGAACGCATAGGGAACAAGGACACAAGGAAGAGGTAACTACAGGAAGAATGTGGGAAGAGAGCTGTTACATTGTGGGGAATTGCAGTCAGTGTCATGAAACAAAATGTGTATGAACTGCTGTATGGGAAATGAATTTGCTCTGTGAACGTTCACCGAAATCACAATAAAAATCGGTGGTAAAAAAGAAAAACAGATTGCTGGGACCCGCCTCTAGAATCCTTGAGTCAGTGGGTCTGGGGTGGTACCTGAGAATGTGCGTTTCTAGCATGTCTCCAGGTGATTCTGATGCTGCTTTGTCTGAAATCAGTGCACCAGGGGATACCAGCTCTCAGAGCCTTCCCCATCAGGTTCAAGGCTCCCAGTTGTACCTCATCTGATTCTGAGCTCCCACAGGCCCCAGCCACAGGCCCATCTTCCCAGCCCCAGCTCACCACGTGGGAGGCCGGAGTTTCTTCTTCACTCCCAGGTAGACTCTGAGGCTCTTGACAGGCCACTCCTTCTCAGGCCGGTGACTCTGGGGTAGGGAAAGTAGAGGGAGAATGTGGCTTCAGTCAGTGCAGGCCTCCCACTCCCAGCCCCACTCTGCATCCAAGCCCATGGCACCTCCTCTAGGAAGCCTTCCTGGCAAAGCCCTCCTTGTTCACAATCCAGCCTAAGCTGCCCCTGGCCCTGACACTCGGGCCTTCCTTCCTAGAGTGCCACCCCTTCCAGCAGCAGCATCAGACAGTCAACCCTTAGCCCCGTGGCAGCCACTCCAGAGCAGCAAGGTCCAGTTCCTTCCTGCGTCCCTGCAAATTGGAAGTGACTTGTCACATCGGCCTGAATCAGATCATTTGTGGAGAGAAAACTGCCGCACATAATTCTTAGGCACCCAACTGGAATGAGCATGTGTGATAGGAGTGCCTTGTTCAGCTGCTCGAGTCTACATTTGTCTCAGATTATTCATTCCTCACCCCTGCTCACCCCATGGAGGCTCGAGGGTTGACTGTGTGAACGTTAAAGCTTATGGTGGGTTGGCAGTTACTAGTTCTTTGGTTCCACAAGAAGACTAATGCCTCAAGCTTAAGCAGAATGGCAGTTTGACAGACCAAAGGAAGAATTCCCAGTGGTCTAGGTCAGGAAGCGAAAAGACCAATGTACTGGGCAGGGGCACCAGATTACAAACGTTCTGGCATCTGGCTCCCACCTCTGCATATGGGTCTAGGCTTGGGAAGAACAGGCTGGCTCAGAAGCAGGGGGATAGAAGCAATGACCCCCGAGGAAGAGGCTGGCTGGAGGTCAAACTAATGAGTCTTCTTCCTGTTCCAGGGCTACCTGCTCCAAGCCCTCCCTGCCACCAGGCACCCCTGGAGCCAGCAGGGTACCAGGGTGGACAGCAGGGGCAGACGACTCACTTACAACCAAAACTGGGGTCTAAGACGGAGCCACCCCCACCCTGTTCACACCCACCATTGCTTCCAGCCACCCCCAGGCATGGCTAGTGGGCAGGAGCTCAGAGAACGGACTAAGGGATAGCCAGGGGAAGTAGAAAGACTATCAGGAATTAATGGACTTCCCTGTGATGTCAAAAAAGGATGGGCTGTCTAGGGCCTGGTGGTGGCTTCTGTGTTGTCACAGGGGGTGTGGTTAGGAGGGGCTTACTAGGGAATCTTCACCTCACTTTCACCCTGCTGGTGGTGTTGTTAGTTTCCATGGAGTTGATTCTGACTCTCGGTGACCCTGTGTGTGCAGAGTAGAACTGCTCCAAGGGTTTTCAAGGCTGTGACCTCTTGGAAGCAGATCCCTAGGCCTTACTTTCGAACTGTCAACCTTGCGTTTAGTAGCCCAGTGCTTAACCATCTGCACCACCCAGGGAATGGAAATTAGGCTACAGATGTGGCAGAAACAAGAAGTGGGGAGAGACTTCTGGTAAGATGGAGGAAGGGGCAGACAAGCAATACAGACCCTCTTCAACAAAGAAAAGAAAAACCAACTGACAGAGATACAGAAGATAATCCTGGAGCCCCAAGCTTTGAAACAAACTATACAGAAGTGGATTAGGCACCAACCAGTGAAAAAACCTGAATGAAAACAGTTGAGTACAGAGATGGCTGGAGCTGCAGACTGTCAGCTACTCTGATGGGACCAACAGCCTGAATATTTCCAAGTGGTGTTGGGACCTGAGAATTGACCTAAAGATCAGCCCTGGTCACCA